AGAAGCATAGAGGGACTGCCAATCGGTGCGTGGGATCAAAGCGAGGATCCCTGTGGCCTCTTGCTGCATCGGGTTACCCGCTGAAGTATAGTTGAGCAGGTTACTCCCGGCATCTGTGGCCCTTAGCGTCTGGGCGTCCAACGTATTGACGGGGTCACTAAGCCATTCGATAGAGTCGATAGCGAAGAATGGGATAGTAATGTTGCTTAGAGTGCTATTGACGGGAATGTTGCGTGAAGCATCTACGACACGCCAGAGGTCGGAGATGTGGTGACCATCATCAACGTGTTTCCCATTCCCTAGGGCAGTCGTAGCATGACCAACTGCTCGATAAACAATTCCCTGTCTTTGGTCAGGAAGCCCATGGTGGTTCCATAGATGTAGTCCACTTTGCGTAATCCCCTTCAAAATCTGTGGATTGGGGGCAAAGCTCGTCCCTGACTCCCATGTAATGGCACCGTTGAGGATAGGAGTGTATAATTCCGAAGAGACGAATAGTAAAGCAATCGCTGCAATTACAAATCGGTAAGGGTCCCATGGCCAGGGGAGAATGAGGGGTAGGGTGGATGACATTCTATCAAACTCGGAAAGCGTAAGTCCCGTCTTCTCGAGCAGAATGAACGCCGCGCGCCAGGACGCGATACCACAGCAATAAGCGGCTATGGCACGAGTGAGAGTCGCACTGAGCGAGATGAGTGTTGTGACATCGGATTGCCGCAGAGCAGAGAAGCCGAGAAACTTCAATCTTCCATCCGACTCCTGAAAGAATTTTTGCGTAGAAGACGTGCTAAAATGGTGGCCATTGACGGCGTGAAGGATGGCCACCGCGACTGCGACTGCGATCAGGAGATGGCAGCACATTGGGAGTATGACTGAGCTCCAGATCTTGAAGCGGCTCTCTTTGCGCATAGCGCAAGTGGAATTGCCCGAGTGTAAGGGCTTGGCCTCCTCAAAGCCATCCATGCTGGGGAGTGATAGATTGATATATAGAAGGAGAGGATTCGAATGATGAGTGTGCAAGGATAATGGTTTTATATCCCTTTGACGGATAGAGAGAATCCATCATGTCCGAAAGCGCTGGTGAGTGCCCAGATATATGGGAGTTTATGTGAGAGTTCCCTTACTCGAATAGAGATATGATATGCGGCTTGACCTCTTCTCTCCCAGTATTGCCATGTCTAGAGGAGGAATACACGAGGCAAACCTATTGAGCCCTCAACTAGAACTGCTATCTGCTGTGCAGATCCCATCTTCCAATAGGAGGTGAGGAAGTCAGCATCCATAACGTTGTCAATCAGCCTATTGCCCAACCAAATCATACAGTGGTGGCCAAGTTGAGTAGAGCAACCTCCACCCCAGCGGCCATGCATCTAGACTTATAATTCAGATTTAAGAAAAAGGTCCCGAAATGAGTAAGGCATCGCCAAATTGATGATGCCGTGTAGGGGAGGGTTGACTTCCTCACTTCATCCAGACTGCTTGGCACGGTCACTCATCGCTTTGAATTCAACGATTAAGTCACGTGAATTTCTTGTAAAGGGTGCCTTTGATGGCTATAATTTGCACATACCCCATTGATAAATTCGAATAAAAACAGTTATGAAAGTCTACGGCGCACAGCTAGGGACGATTGAAAGGAGTGTTGGCTTACCCGCTCGAGAAGAGGGTAGATAATCTACACCAGAGTGACTCGTACGGGCAGGTTGATTCCTTCATGTTGCTTTCCGACCACTCTCGAGGTCAACGCCGCAGCGAACCTCAGCTCGAGCTCTGCACCTGTATCGTGGAACCTAAAGTGCCTGATGAGGGTCAACATCAAGACCTATAAGAGTCAAAGTAAGCAACAATATATCGAATGGAGGAGATAAGCTAACGCACCTTGTACTCGAACAGCGCCAATTTTATCCCGATACATGTCCTAGGTCCCTCTGAAAAACTAAACTGATGAGCCCAGCCACCACACATCTGGTCTGCAGGTAACAGTCCTGGTTCACCGGGTTTGCAATATTTTTCTGCAACTGGGCCACCAACGAGCCACCGAGTAGGACGGAACGTATCCGCATCACCCCACGCATCTTCATCTCTATCAATCGCAATACCAGGAATGTGGATAATCTGGCCTTTCTTGACGGGGATGGAAGTGATCCACGAGCCGTCGGTGCCTTTGACTGGTTCACGAAGGGGGATAACGTCGTCGGCCTCTGCAACCTTTTCGTTCCTCGCTCCAGCCGAGAAAAGACGGATGCTCTCTTTGCAGACGGCGTCAAGGTAAGGAAGTGTATTGGGGTCGTCCAGCTCGTCGTAGGACGGCTCTCCTCCGAAGCTGGTGACTTCGTCCCTGAGGAGTTGTTGCATGGATGGGTGTTTGGCGAGGAGCCATAGTCCAAAGGCAATCGCACCTGCCGTAGTTTCGTGTCCAGCGACGACAAAGGTGACAACGTGGTTGTAAATCTCTTCCATGCTCACTCGTTTTGCGGGATCTTGTCTTTGATTTGCTCGAACTGTCATAACATAAGTATGCAATAATAGAGTTTATTTTCAACTTACGAAGGAGGGACATCAAATCCTTGCCACCCTTGGTGTCGATCTCTCCCCTGTCGACAATCTCCTTTGCAAATTCGCGAATGTGGTTGACGATAGCTGCCTGTGCTTTTAGTGCTTTGAGAGGGAGGTATGTAATCCAGGGTAACAGTTGGAGGGTCATGGTCGCCTTGAACCCGGCGTCGGATATTCCCATTTCGTTCTGATGTCTCCACATATCCATGATCATAACTGCATGAGGACCATGTTCAATGGCATTAAAATCGTACCCGAATGCCGCCTTGCCAATGACATCCAGGGCAGCCGGGCCTGTCAAGTCGAACGCGTTGAGCTCGATAGATTTCGACGATTGAAGTTGAGAAGCGAGATGGTCTTGCATATGTGAAGCTACTTGGTAGATGATAGGTCCTATGTTTCGAACGTTTTCTCTCGAAAATGCGGGTGCAACCAGAGATTTCATGCGTCGGTGTTCACTAGCGCCTTCGACCCACAATAGAGAATGGCCCGTCAACCTTCCAACGAAAGCACGGAATATAGGTGGGTGGGCATAATTGTATGGATTTTTGGAGAATACATGAGACACTGCAACAGTATCCGCTAGAATAAGCTGGCACGTACGTGTTAGCTACCCTTTTCCATGTTTTATGCGGGCCAACTACGACAGGCCACTTACGATATCTTGGTGACCCCAAGCTGCTTTGATTCGGAATGCTTTTCCACATTCCTTGAACCATTTTCGCCATTGCTGTCCACCGTTATCCTCAAACTCCTGCTTTTGATGGCCCCATACGAAGGAAGGGTTTGAGGGGACTGGAAGATTCGGAAGCGCGTTGCGGCGTTCCCACCAAGCGTGCAAGATGATGGCGACGACGGCCACAGAAACAGTCGCGGATGTGATAGAGAGAGACATGGAGGAGAGAGAGAAGCGTGGAAAGGATGAGGGTCCAATGGGGAAAGGTTTATTATGGCAAGTGGGGTGAACGACCCTGCAGTGAAAGGCGGCTTCTTGACTCTTCCGCCCTCCTTTGAACGGCAACATTGCGAGATCTGGCGCGTTCCTGAGCTTTTAATAGCTACTTCAACCCATTATCAACAGTTTACATTCTTGGAAATCGACGGTTGACGCGACGAGTAGGCTTGGTGATGGCGAAGATTTGTCCTCGGGGGCCATTTGGTGCAGTTTATTAGCTTATCACCACAGTTGCGAGTTTTAAGGTGGTACCATCAGCTGCTCGTACTCGTGTATCCTGTCTGATTCATGTAGATACGATCAAATCAAATTCTCTGCTAATAGACCTCTTCGTTGCCCAAACAGGTTGACTATAGCTGAGTTCAGAGCTGTACTACATACACATATTATAGACAATCAAAGGGGAGAATACTTCCACGTAAAGGCTGTAGCTTCATTTGTCCAAGCTGGCCAAGGGACCGTCTCATCGTCTCCATTATCTCCAGGAACCGCTCAAAAGTTTCTCGATAGATCGGTCTGTCACCTGCTAGCTGTAGGTCACCATGTAGTGTCCCATAGCCATGCACCAAACACTCTCGCAGGTTTAAAAAGTAGGTAGAAAAGAATGGTTGCTGGTAAACTTTGCTGAACATGTAGCCCTGTAACAGACCGAGAAAGCGCTGGTTTTGAGAACTATGGTCTTCTGGAGGGAAAAAGTCGCGATATGCCTTCTTGGCGCGAGAGTCCAAGGTGCCGGTTTCCGTGAAGAATAAGGTCAACCAGATGGCGATCCACCAAATGGGTTCGATGTCGTGAATAGGGTTATGGAACCATCGAATCTCGTGATATTTACTGTTCCCCAGTATTAAAGAGGATTCGTATGCCTGTTCTGGAATAAAAAGGAAGGATTTAGCCGGGGCACCGACTTCCACGGCCTTAAAGAATGCTCCCTATCGAAGTAAAAGTCAGCGTTTATCATAATAACAGGTGATACTTTACAGTTGGAACGCCTTCTTCCTCTTCGTCGGATTGGCAAACCTCGCCGAACCTTTGCGCATATTAAAAATCGAGCAATACTCCTTTAGTTCTATCTCCTGTTAACAGTATGTTTGTACTGGAAACATGTCGGTGTATATACCCTACTGAGTAAATGGCCCGAAGAGCTGTAGGAAAGGTGAGAAAGTAAAGGGTACGAGAAATACCGAATTGCAAACCTTTCAGGGCACCAATGAGGGCAAGCAGCATTTCATCATATCTTCTGATGTCGCTCAAAGCGATTCTGGGAGAGTCAACGTAAACCAGCCGCCAGTGGCATCGGAGTGTGTCTCTCGTTCTCCATCGGCGAGACTCCCAGAGGTCTTCTTCGATACTATCTATGTAGTCTTCGAGAGTTGGTGGCCCTTCTATCTCTGCAGTTGGTGTTGATGAATAGAACGAGAACATTTCATCACCCGGAATGACGCTACGTCGTTGTCTACGAGTCCAGTTGACTTTTCGGCGAGAGAGGTCAAAAATATCGTCCATGGTGTTGTCTGGAAGGCGAACTTGGCCGTGCATGGGGACTTCTGGAAGGTGTAGCAGGCCCTCTGGGTCACTTTGGAGACAAGATCGGATATCCCTCAAGTTATTCCCTTCAGGTGCTTTTCCCTTTTTATACCAAGTGTCCTTGAGGACCCGGCGCGTTTTGGAGGGGTCATTAATATCAAAAACCTCCCACACCCGAGTGCCATGAGACCGCGCAATTCTGGCACTGCGAGCGGATAGAAGACGAACTGTCTCGAAAGTATGTTCGTATCCCTCTTCATTTCGAACTAGGATGTGGTACACACTTTCTTCCACGACCGAAGAACATTCGCTTGATTGATTCTCTTGGGCAAGGTAACTGGATTTTGACCTTGATTCCTTTTCATGACCTTTACCATTGAAGTTTGACTGAACATTTGGATATGCTGAGCGGGTGTATATATATTTGATAGTAGGGTCGAATCCCAGCTCGATTTCTGTCGAACTGGCTAGAGCGAGGAATATGTGTATCAAGTAGTCTGGACTTCTGAATCTGTGTCATTTAAATCTTTGAGATGATAAAATAATAACCTTCAAGAAGTCAAAAGCCTCCGAAACAGCCACTACGCCACGATCACAATGCCACAATCTAGTTTGGGTACCTTCCATGGTCAAGCCGAAGACATGACGACAACGTGGATCAATGCCCATTCTATAACTCATATTACGTAGAATGGTGCTAGTATTCTAGATAGTAACTTGTAAGTAATCGCAATGGGAATGTCTTGAAGACTTACATGCAGGCGGTCAGAACGATCATTCTTTGCGCTTAACCCCATGAAGAGAACGATATCTGCATAGTCGAGAAGATCATTTGCTTTATAATCGCGACTTGTATCTTTAAGGTAGAGACACCCTTCAGGCTTGAATGTGCTGGAGGCGCCCGACTCGAGTTCTATGTCATCCCTGACAAGAAGAGGTGCCAATAGACCAATTTTCGACTCTAGAAGGCCACAAGATATGGCAGCGCTGATCACGTCGGCATAAATTCTTTCTAGTGACTTGAATATCGAGGGGTCGTCCGCATATTCCAATGGGGTCTTAGGGAGACACTTCCAGCGTCCATCCTCACCGATGAGGCCATTCATAATTAGAGAGGCTTTCACTTGTAGTAGATCGTTGGATGAGATAGGACGTAAGACCGACTCGAGCAACATTGCAGTAGGTATGATATCGACCATCTCGATTTCTTCCAGGAACCTATGCTCATTCAATGCGCTGATCGCGCCGATAGAGGGAATTTGTGGTCCCCCAGTACTACTAGTGGCGGAGTGGCCAACGTTACTCTCTTGTGAGACCGTTGGAGGCAATGAAGAAATTGGCTGAATGAAGCCTCTCTCAGTCCCAGAGAGAATATCAAGAGATTCCCTGGATTTGCCATGAGTGGGCGATGCAGTTTCCATCTGAGCTAGAGAGGGTAGGAAACAAAGACGCACGGGGCACAATGACTTGTTTTGGCGCTTAATACCAGGCCAGATAGTGGGTAGGCATAAATGATTTTCGACCAAAAGTACCCTTAGATTCTGGAGGTAGATAGTACCACTATTCCCCTGAGTCATCCCCCATTCAATGGCTCAGTATTCGGGTCGAAATAGTATCGACTGCACCACTATCCTCACAAAGAGAAGCCACCGGTAACTCTTCTTAGATATAATCCATACCGAGTCATTATTTGGTCCCCTTTCACTGGCGACAAGTCGTCTATGCAGTCGTGACGGGAACAAAGGAACGCAAGGGTTCAAACCTAAAGGTTGCCACACCACTACGTACTGCTTAACTCGAGATTCACATATATTCTCTGCTAATAAGTCGTTTCATTTGCCATTTCTCAGTCATCTTCACATGAATACTGTATTTTTTATGTGGCCAAAAACCGGAAATGGCGAACCACTGTTCAATTGGGGTTGACTTGGGTGACATCTGGCAGTATGACAATGCTGGTGGGATTCATCGGTGCTTTGAAAGGTCAGCGACCCCATATCTCTCTCCGGCATCCTTCAATTTCTTACCTCCTCTTAAGCTCTACGAGCCATATCCTCAGCCGGGTATACGCATCGACATGTCTCCAGTGCAAATATTATGTTGACAGAAGCCAGGACCAAGGGGGTACTGATAGATTTCAGATACGCCGAACAATTCGTCGAATTCTCTCAATCTAAAATAGACGACCAAGATTTTCCAATTGTAAAGATTCATCCTATTGTCTACTAGATTTAGATTCTAACTCTACTCCTATAGGGAACGTTTTTTAAGCCTCTGGAAACCTCCACACCCGTCAAAGTCTTCCTTTTTCCGCCATCGAGGTCACTCGAATCTCATACAGGACCGCAAGCCTATAACTATCCCAAGATACCTTGGTTTTATAAGCCTATACACGATATGAAATCTGTTTGGTGGCTTTCTATCTGGCTGACGTTATACTATACGGAAACGGGCGAAGTGGATGACAGCTTCCTCTCGGGGGGTGCTTATCAAGATAAGCGATTTCTCAGTCTGTTCGCAGGCCATATATTCGACAGCGTGTACCAGCAACCATTCTTTTCTGGCTATCTTTCGAGGTTGCGAGACCGAATAACCCAAGGCTATGCAACTCTACACGGTGATCTAATAAATGATTCACGACCAGCAGTTGAAAGTTCAATTTACAGAGAAACATTTGGAAGCTTCTTGGAGGTCATGGAGACGATGAGGCGATCGCTCGGGTCATTAGGACAAATCAAGCTATTACCCTTGCAAGGAGGCGATCTCCCGCCCTGGTCTATGTGAAGTCAGCTTTGTATCCGCCATATATTCGAATTCGCCAAGTCACATTTCGAATCTCAATTTCTATTTCAGCTTTGATGCCGCAAATTCTGCCAAGGTTTAGGATAAGATTTATGATTTCTCGCTAGTGGTATCGTCATGGATGGAAAAAAAAAAGACGAATGATCCCTGTCCATTAGCAAAAGAACATCTCTAATACGGATATCACCAGAACGAGTGGGTTTGAAGGAGTCATGCTACATAGAAAGATTTCCTTATAGTCTAATCGACACTCGGAACTTTGGAACTGCCCCCTCTATTGGCTCCTCGTATATTATGTCCGTATCTATGACGTATTTCTATCGTTCAGCTCCCTTGCTTTATCCCAGTCTCTTGCAACATCAAGGACGACTCGTATATGGTCAAAGCAGAAGGGTTCCTTTGCTTCAAGCGCAATGGATTGGGCACAGCTGATCGTATTCTTTATCTAATGGTGATAGATTAGAGCCAACTTCATAAATTCTTCTCTCCTTACCTGTCTTCCATTCATCTCTTCTTTCGCCAAAATTTCTATCTCTTCCTCACTGATTTGTTTCTTGATTGCTATCTTCCCAACGAAAACATTCCAAATAGCTTTACGTGATTCAAAGTCCAGGTTTGAGTAATTGATCGAGAAGTGAATGCGACCTATTTATCATCAAAGCCCGTTCCATCATGCCAGGAAAGGATCAAACTCACTTTCGAAAGCGACATCACATTGTGTTATGAGATTTGTCGTCAGTATTAATATCCCTTGGTAGTACTCCAGTTGCCTGAGGAAAATGCTGACGAGTGCGTTTCGGTGCACATCTGTATTACTGC